CTTGAGAGGTTTTCCCATGTGTCAGGGAGCTCAGGGTTACACTGCTGTATTAAGAGAATAATATGGGAATAACCAACATAGGACCATGTTCACAACGCCTCTTTAACAGCCTGACGCAAGTGGCTTGCTTGTCAGAGAAACCTGACTGGTAAATCCCACTATATTTCTGCAGGGTAGCCTGGATGTAATTATCCTTCTCAATGGTAAATCAATTAAGAAAGGATGATCCAACATTCCCCTCCTCTTCTAAGAAACTGCTAATTCTCTAACAATGACGGACAGAAAACCCCCAGGAGCAGAGTTGGAACTATCATGGCGCTGACTGCACTCTCCTGGTCTTTATATCTGTGCAAGGGCAGTCAACTTCTAGGTCAGAGTAGACAGCGTGGCCCATGTAGTCAGACAGAGGTAAACGGGGATCTGCATTTTCTTTTGCAAAAAACAAGTGGCTCATCTGCCTGAGCCTCAGTTTCTTCATCTGCCAAATGGGAATAAAAGTACCAGACTCTAGGGATTAAGAGCAAAATTTAGGGTAGGGTGTAGAAGTGAACTCAGCCCAAGGCATGGACCTTACAAGGAGCTCCCAAGAAGTAATTATCCCATTCTGGTATCAGACCTTACAGCCTCCTCACACCCCACACATCTAGAGGCATACACACCTCTACCCTGCAGTGATTTAGTCACATTCACTGGCAGTCAGACCTTCCTGTGTTCTCTGCCATTTCCAAAGCAGTGTTTCCAAATCTGCAGGTGGCAGACACTTTTGAGCCAGAGCAATTAGACCATAGCATGCCTGCCTTTCCCTATCCACTTAAGATTTGTTCTCAAATAGGCACCGGTAGGAGCCAAACCCCTCCCTTGTCGAGGCACAAAGCCTTCAGCGTGTTAGTACTGTACAAAGCAGAGATCTGTTAAATGCAAGCTTGACCTTGGCACATGCCATTCTGCATGGACCAGAAGACAAGAATCAGCTGACAGTAATGAGTTCTAGAAACCCAGGGACATTTGTCTCCTGTGAGCAGGAGAAGCTATGAGAACGAGCCCCACCATAGCAGAGCCCCTCCTCTGCGAGGCAAACCTCAGACACACCTGCTTCTAGAATTAACACATTGCTCTTCATATTCAACGTGCCAGGTTCAGACATCACCCAGGCAATGAGCTATTAGGCCAATAGCTGGAGAAAGGCAAACAGGGAGGAATATGGAATTCACATCAAAAACAGGACAGGTCAAGGTCAGTAAAATAGTGCTGATGCCACCATGTCATCTCACAGTTTAGAACAACTTCAACTGGAGTAGCTCCGAGAATTTCATATCAATTCTCCCATTTAGGAAAGATGAGTAAATACAGCTAGCGCAAATCTCAATTTCTTTAAGGGAGTCCAGCATGGCTAGATGTATCCTGATAAATCTGTCATTCTTGTCCTTACCAATGGGAAAGTTGTTGCAGACCCACCATTTACAAGTAATACCGGCTTGGGGTAATGGACATAGAGCTATTTCCTTAGCTCATCTACCTTCTAAAGTGGCTGAGAGGATTAGAGGTTATACAGATTAAGCTCCTAAAAGGCAATTTAGCTTAGTAGGTATTCAATTAATGCTAGGCATATTACTGAATAGTATTGAATAGTAGGTATTCAATTAATGCTAAGAATATACACACATACTAACCCTTCTACTTTCAATCTAATGGTTTATTGGCTGTCTGCATTTGGATATTTTAGGTCATCAAAAAACCCATTAGAAAATCAGCAACTATATAAATACAAGCACAATTTACTGTTTTTCTGGGGGCCACAGATCTCTCACAGCCTCCAAGAAAAGCAGTAGCCATCTGTTAAATAAATAACTCATTTGGTAAAAAGCAAGTGTTTCCACAAGATTAATGGAAAATCTGCTGGATTTTTCACTGGCTGTCAATGAACATTGGCAGCTACAGATAATTCGGGCACTGGAGAATCAGAGGATCCTGTATAATGTGAGCTGAGCTGAGAATCCAGAGACCAGAGGTTTAAATTTTAAGAAACAGTTAAGAAGAAAACAAAACAAAAAATTGAATTACAAGGTCATAATGACCCAGAGCACTATAGCAATAAAGAAACAAATCAAAGTATTTTCATCTAACTGAGTATTTATGTCTGTCATTTTGCCTAAGTGACTGCTTAATTATAGTTCTAGTAAACTGAATATTCTGGTTAAAAGAAAGCCACCATGTAAGTATTTGAATTGTCAGCATCTAGAGGCTCAGAAGACAATCAAAAACACTTACAATAAAATGAAGCAAAATCTAATTTCATCTTCCCTTGGATGATTCAGAAAGTACTTCAGGATCACACATTCTCCTCATGAATTAATTTCTACTGCTATTTAAAAAAAAGTAAATAAATCCATGGCAATAGCTTGTTGTTTGTTTTTCACCAATCTGTGTGAAGAAAATAGCTTTTAACTTTCTGGGCAGCAGTACCTCTTAAGTGGGAATTAATTGTGCTTTGATGGTGTTTCTCAGAGAACACAGATAAAATAGGTCCAACTTTCGTTAAGTGGTAATGAATTCCTGTAAGAAACTGCTCCAGAGAGCCTGTGGTGTAGACGACACCTCTAGGAAGAAGTAGAGACAGCATCTCTGTGCCAGTAGTCTCTAAATCCTAGCTTTCTGTTCTTCTGACCCTAGCATCTGCTTTAACCAACGCCTAGTTGCCTGCATTTCTAAGCACATCTAGGCTGCAACAAGGAGAAATAAAGAAGTTAGAGGTCGAGAAAAACAGAAAAAGACCAAAGGAGACATTACTAGAAACCTGAAAGGAAATAGACATGATAGATGAGCACCAAAATGGATGCAAACAGGTGTGACCCTCTACATCCCACTTGGGAGAATTCTCATTAGAGGAATGACCTATCATCTACATGAAAATACGATTGGTTCTGTTGTGGTCATAGGTCAGAGATCAGCCCTGAAGGGCATCTGCCATGTGACAAATATCTAGTTCCTGTTTCTCTCAGAGTGCACCCCCACTAAGATATGACTCTGTCTAATCCCACGTCACTTGTGCAAAGCTTTATACCGCAAGTCCTGAGACCAACTGGCAATGCAGCCACCAACCAGCTGAGTGACATGGTGGACATTTGTCCTCTGTGGGCCCCAGCTTCCTTCTTAATGAAGGGAGAAGGGCAGAGGTAGAATTGAGACACATCACTTCTGAATTGATTCAGTCCAGTTTTATCATGTGTCCATCATGGACAGGGCATCAGCTTTAATCAAAGTCAAGAAGCAACTGCCCCAAGCTTCCAGAGCAAGACTAGAATGGAAATTTTAAAATAGTAGGCTGTGGCTGCATGGAAAGGAAAGATGCAAAGTGTGGCTGGGAGCCAAGAAATCTAGACTGAGAATCATGAGCCCTGGCTCCTTTTTTCACCTGGTTATGTGGGCTTTTTGGCTTCTGTTTTCCTGTAAACCTCATTTGTAAAATGAGGTTACTGGTACAGATAAATGATTCTTAACTGAAACTTCATGGATATCTTGGGTCCGTGGGTGGGATTCCAGCTGTTCACAAACCGCTAAAACCTGTTTTCCAGTTTTATGTGCAGGGGCAGGTTTGAAGAGAAGAGATCCAGAGCTTTGATCACTTTCACAAAAGTGCTGAAGTTCAACAACTATTAATAAATGCTTGTATAAATAAAATCCATGATCCCTTCAACTCTAATGTTTAAGAAGTCCCATGATAATACTGAAAACTATGGAAAAGACAGCCCTTTGGGACAAAGGAAAGAAACTACTCCACCAAAGCCAGCAACAGGTGTTCAAAGAGCCCTCCTGATGACCATCCAGGTTCTGGCACTTGACTTGTGGGGAGTCTCAGGTCTGGGGCTCCCTAGCTAGATCGTTGGGTATTCATCACCATCACTGAACCAGGAGTCACCCAAGGCAAAAGTGAGAAGCAGAGGGGGCCGTGAGTTCCCATGCTAAGGGTCTGAGTCAAAGCCGTTCTGATTTGAGTAGCATAAACAACCATCACCCCAGCTCGGCCTCCACCAGGTTGGAATCAGAGATAAGGGACATCTGCACAATGGGTTGAAGCTCACCCCTGCACTTAAAAAGAAAGGGCTAGAAAACCACTGGGGGAATGCGAATCAGATCAAAAGAGGAGAGCATGGCAGTGCCATTTTCAGCCTTCTAGATCCCTGGTGTGTTAATAGGGCCTAGGCTTTCCTAAGTTTCTAAACAGCAGTGCCTTTCTGGCTGCAATAAGATCACCTCTTCCCAGAGCCAACATACTACACAGTATTTATTTTCTAAAACCGTCATTATTGCATGGAATCCAGGTCCTCTCCCCTCAGAGAGTCTCCATGACCAAGGTCTGTCCTTGTATGATCTCTTCCACATCCTGGCTCTTAAGTCATCTGGAAAGTCAGAGAGCAGAGGGGCCACTGGGGCCAGGTCTGCTCTCCATCCCTCAGCAGCAGCTCGAGAGCAAGCTCGTGAATCCAGGAACTGCCCCTCCTTTCCTTGGCAGAAACAGACTCCCTGTTTCCCAGGTGCCCTCTGAAAACAGACCAGCAAGAGGGAAACTGTGGAAGAAGTCAACTCTAGAAACAAGCAGACCGTTCTCAAGTCACAGATGTGCTGCTTACCACTGTCTGACTTTAGGCTAGAAAAGGAATCTCTCTGAGTTTCAGTTTCTTCATCTGTAAAATGGGGACAATAATACATCTAGCCCATAGATTCACTGTGAAGGTAAATAAGGCATCCCTGGCACAGAGGAACACCTTACTAGCCATATAATTTTACTGTTGTTGAAATTATTATTGTTGTCGATACTACTCGTATGAAGTCAGGTGTTAGAATTATAGACAGTGTTTGTGATGTTCTCCTTGGCTTATAAAGCAGGCTCTCTCTAACTGATTCCACAGTTTTCTTCTTCACTCCTGACCCTTGGCAGCCCTGCTACCCCACCCCCCAACCCAACCCAGGGAGCCATCAGAACCCTTGATCCCTAGTCTTACCTTCCTTTTGTTGGTGGGATTGACGTACAGATAACTGAGGACAGTCTTCAAACCTACTTTGTCATTCAGCTTTTCATAGGTGGTTCCATAATCTGTTGACCTGCAGGTAAGAGGGAAAGTAAGGGAGAGATTGTTTTACCAACCAGAGACTGTATTCAAAGGGGAGCCAAGCTCTCCCTCAACCTGTACCTTTGTTCCCAAATCACAGGTGTGATTCAGAGATAAAAGGCCCCATTCATTTCAGAAGAGCAATTAGTCTACTGCATCTACCAAGGCTCACTCCCCTTTGCTCTCGGCCTTTCCCAGCCTTTCTCAGAGACCTGCCTTTCCACCCTCTGTGAGGCTGTGCCTACGAGTTGCTGCTGGGGACTGCTCTCTCTACCTTGAGCCCAGGGCTCTCTCTTGGTGCTGTGGAGGGGCACAGGTTCCTGCTGAGAGCTGTGTGCGAAGCCAGACCACCTCCAGAGGTCACCAGAGTCTGGTGAACCTCAAGCCCCCTCCAAGGAGCCTGAGGCTCAGGACCCTCAGGGTGGAAGGAAGCCCATTAGAATCCAGTGGCCAAATCAAGCTGCAGTAGGCAGAGGGTGTGACGCTTTACAGAGGAGCGATGGTATGTCAGGGTGAAAGCCAATGTTTTGAACCACTGCCAACAGTTCATTCTGATTATCCTGTTTGTCCTTTGGGCCTAATTTCCAGGGTTCTGACCTTATATCAAAACCACAAGTCAGGGCTCAGAGAACAAAGGCAGGCCAAGCCACAGACTCCTTCTTCTCCATCCTGCCTTTCCTTAGTAGAGGAAGGAAAGCAGGTGCCAAACAGGGAGGTCCCAGGAGCCAGCCTTGCTGTCACGCTTCTCACCTCACTCCCCAGCCCCACCCCTCACATACCCACCTCCCTCTTCAAACCACCACTACTCTCAGCTCTACAACCTGTCTTTCCCTCACTGCCTTCCTTGACTACCTCACGAAGTTTCTCCCACCCAGGCTTCAGAAAATCAGAAGTCAGTATATTTCCTCTGTGGTCACCCAAACTCACGGGTACCTGAATTCTACCTCAAATCTCAAATCCCAGCTCTGGCTGGGTGCCTCCACAAGTAACTGCCTGTTCCTGCCTTTTCCTGCATTCTTCATCCACCTTCTCTCCAGAATCTGCGCCTGTCCTGGCCTCCATCTTAGTTTGACAAGTCCAGTAGCCAAGGCTTGGACTACATGATGACCTTTCAGAATCATCCCCACCCCAACTAATCTAGCAAATTCCATGTCTCCATGCCCAGCTTGGATGCCCACCCTCACCTCTGTTAAGGTTTTACTAGCCCTCTTCCCAGTCACCCTCATCTATCTGCACAAGAACAAGGATCCCCACCTATTACATGCCCAAAGCACACTGTCCATGCCTCCTTTTGGCTCTTCAATATTGTTAATTGAATTTCTTTTTAAGTTCCGTTTCCCCTGGCACAACGTAAGCTCCTGATGGACAAGGAACCACAGAGAAGCAAGACAAAGGAATATGAACTTTGGGCATAGCAAAATCTCTATTTCATTGCTAGATCCACAGCTCTCTGTTGAATGACCATGTGCAAGTTACTTAGCCTGATAGACCCTCAGGTTTCTCAAATAAAAGAATCAGGGTAATTTAGTCTTACAAGACATTGGGAAGGATGCAAAAATAGAACACATGGGAAGCTCTGTAACAAGATGTAGGTATAATGAAATGTTAAAAAATAAATAAATAAAAGAAAAATAAAAAGGATGTTTACTCCTTCATCCCCCAAAATGTACAGAACCAGGCTTCACACACATATCACATCCTCAGCATATTTACTGAATAAATAAACATCAGCATTTCAAATCCCTCCCTAGGCTATTGGCTCCACATGGTCAGTGGCTATGGTAACTTTTATAACCAGCCTCCACTGCAAAATGACTTATCTTCTGTCTCCTGTCTACCTTTAAGCACAGGGACTCATTCCCATCTTTCTCATTGCCTTTATCTCTTAAAACCAGTTCAGTCTCCAATCTTCATGATCCTATCTCCTAAATAACTTGCACCCCTGGTCTTTCCATCCTGACCCCAATGCTGTGGCTCATGCATCATTATTTTTGCAACAGTCCCTCAACTGGACGCTCTTCTTCCAGACTTTTTCCCCCTCCCACCATCCTCCATGCTGTCATGAGGCTATATTTCAACCTCACAGCTCTGTCCATCTCGTCCCTTGTAGTAATTACCCACTGCCTACACACAGTGAGTTTGTAGCTTCCAAGCTTAGTCTTGTCAAATTTGGCTTTAATCTTCCTTATTAGACTCATTCCCAGCCATCTGCTCCCTGTCCCTTTTTCTCCAGCCTCACTAAACTTTCCTGAATGTCTTGCATTTTCACTGCCCTCCATTTCTACACATATTTCCTTTGCCTGAACTGTTTCTGCCCTATTTCCTCTTCTTAGTGCATTCCTCTCCAACCTTCAACAACACCAATATCACCCTCCTTTCAGCTTCACCACTAGGAAATTAATCAATATTTCCTTTGTGCTCTCATATTACCTTGCATATACTTCTGTTTTGGCATTTATCCTATGGTTTTAGTCATACTATTTTTATTCTGGGATCTCTTCCTTGACTATAACTCCCTAAGGGCAAGAGCCATTTCTTATAACATCCCCAATGCTTTGCACAACTTCTGGTGCAGAGCAAGTACTGAATGTACTGATTTGTGTATTGTTTTGCTTTGCTTTGTCTTCATTTGCAAAAATGAATGCATGGTCACAAGTTCTTGCCCAAATGCTAACATCTGGGAGCAATTCAAAACATAGCCACACCTAGAAAACACAACATACAGTTGGATGCTGGCACAATTGGAAAGGTCTAGCAGTATCTAGTATCAGGGAAGGACCTACAGTTCATGTGCACTAACATCAAGGTTACATGATCAATCACTCCAGCCTCCTATCTTCTCCAGGGCAGGGAAGGAGACACCTTAATCTCTAAAGGCAGTCAGGTGCATACTTTTATTAATCCAAATAAAATATTTTATAGGATGAATCACTTCTTGATTCTGTACTCTTATAGGCCTAAAGATAGTATGGTGTGGAGAAAAAACACTGAATCTGGAGTCTGGAAATCTAGACTCTGAAGCATGCACAAAGTGTTACCCGGGACAAGACAATTCTTTATACCTGTTAAAGAAAAAAATTATTCAGACACTCATTAATATGGTAAGGAAGACTTCATTCAGGGCAGTGGCAATATATATAGAGACCACTGTGATGAGGTTTTTCAATAGGAGAAACTGGGCTCATCTTTGAAAACAACAAAAGGCAAGGAATTTATAGCCAAAGAGAAGGGTGGGAGTCAGTGAATGGATCATTACTAGAAGGTAGAGTAATTCTTTTCTAAACTGACCAGGATTCATGATAAAACTGGGTAAAACTTGGACACACCCAAGGACAGGACCTCATTGACAAAGAGCTCAGAGGGTCTTGAGTTTGGCCGAGAAAAGGGTCTGTCAAGCCCCAGTTTAGAGGTTTTACTCCAACAATCATAAGGCCCCATCTGGACCTTAAATATCTTTATTCTACCAACATAGTGCTTAGCTGTTCTCCAACCAGCAAACTTTCATCACTCTATACATAGCAAACACCTTGCTTTTGTAAAGAGCTGAATTCTCAGAGCCCCCTGCATGACTGACATCCCACCAAACTTCTTTCCAGAATCCAAATAAACCTCATCAAAGGTAGTATGCTTTGCACCACACAGTCTTCTCCTTCTGCAGGCTGCACCACACATTCACAGGGCCTCCGCTCTTCTCCAAGAGGGGCTGCTTTTCCAAGTGTAAGGACTTCCCAACAAAGGATTCTCCATAGGTCAGCTTCCTCTGTGCCTCAGGTGGTTTCTCAGGCTGACAGAAAAGGTCTCCTTCACTGAAGACAGCTCAAGAAGACAGGCCAGCTGTGGGACTAAAGGTGCCCTGGATTCTGTCCTTTCCAGCATGGACACTGCACACCACATTGACCACAGAGCTCCGGGGACCCCCTGTGTTTGGAGTGAGTGGCAGCTGGCAGAGAGAGGCCTCAGCCCCATTGCCAGAGACAGCTGTACCTGCAGAACTCACTTGCGCAAGAGATCAGACCATCCTCCACCTGGTCACACCAGACACGTGCCCATTGGGTCACCTGGAGGAAACAGGCTCCCTTCTCCTATGTCAAAGCTAGCCTCCCAAATCTTGACACTGGGCTCCCAACACTGAAATGTCCAGAAATCTGGAAACATCACTCATGAATTGAGCACCTGCCAGTTGCCGTTCTGGATTGCTCTGAATGCACAGCTAACCTGGAAGGCGATGCGTGATAGGTATAAAGCCACAGGCTTTGGGTTTCTGTGCCTTAGCTCAAGTCACCCCAGTCTAGGAGACTATTCTACTATGTTCTCTTAGTTCTTTTTTCCTGCCTTTTAAATGAAGTGTTACCAGCACACAGGAAAACACAATGAGATGCCAATTATATGCCCACTACTAGATTTAATAAGTATCTGTGTCCATAAACAACATATAATCTTTTGGAGCATTTTACATTAATGTAAGTCTTATACAGGATGTACACTCTGCAGTTTGCTTCTTCTGTCCAACATTCAAGTTTTGGGATTTATCATATTGGCACATCTAGCTCTAATTCATCCACTTTTCACTGCTGTAGAGTGCTGCCGCTTATGAAGAAACCACTGTCTATCTTTCCAACCACTAATAAATATTTCTGAGTTTTTCCTTTTAAAATTTGTGATAGTAAGCAATGTTTCAGTGAACATTCTTATACATGACTTCTCACGTATTTATGAAGAAAGTTTTTGCACAGGACACATCCTGATGTGCAATTACTGCTTCATACTCCATGCATAACTTCTACTTTGCTGGTTATTGACAAATTTTCTCCAAGAAGGTTGTACACACTGCCCTCCTCTCCAGCTCCAGCAACTGAGTCCTTCTTTATTTCCAGGACTTAAGTCCATACCTCCTGACCAGTCTCGTCCCAGCCATCTCTGACTCTACAGTCCTGAATTCCAGGGTATCTGAACTCAGCATCTGTGGCCTTGGATCCTGGTCACATGGATGCT